ACGTAACATATCACCCAGTGAAGCTGTGTTTTAAGCGCAATTGGCTGCTTTCTGAGCCCGCCATCAGAAGGACTCACTGAACACAGCTATGTTGGAACGCACTACGCAACCAGAACGAAAATATTGATTTCCCGGGGTGCCCTTTATTACATGCCATTTGGTTCGTAAAGGAAACTTTCTAAATATGGAATTAATTCCTGCGGCTGTTTTACCTCCTCTTGGGCTGTAAGGACAGGACAAGCTGGTAGACTGAGAAACACAATTAAAAAAAATAATATCAAAAGGTAGGGGATGGAACAACGCACGCTGTACACTGCGAACACGTTCCTTTGCCACCAATTACAGCCTACCTGCAAACTACGATTTAACAGCTCTAGAACTGCGTACTTGGTCTATTGGGAAAATTCTGTCAAGGTTTAATCATCCAACCAAGTTGCAGAACCTTTTTCCACCAACATTTACCAGCTGTCGGCAACTATTCCTTGACTTTAAACCTCTACTGTGTTTTTCTTTTCCTTTCTTTCCAGAAGCCTAAGAAGGAAAATCTCATCTGTTCTCTCTCAATACAGAATTATCCCAATATTTTTGTACATAAAAGGGATGAAATTAAAGCTCTTACTTATTCTAAGTGCATATGTTAGGTACACAACAAAGAGCACCCCCACATGAAGCCTTCAGAGGGCGAGAGCATCAGAGTAGAAGCAAGCTTTAACCTCTCACCCTCCACAGAAAAATTAATAAATACTTAAGAGACACTGACAGCAACACCGAGATGTTAACTTGACTCACCAAATGCACAGTATTTTCATGACACCCGAAAAGCTCTACGCAAAGCAGCAGAGACCAGATAAAGTAGCATCATGGAAAACATCCATCTGCTTGACCCACAGAGCCTCAGCCCTGTCTTTAAGAAACCTCTTCAGGTGCCACCTGTGCTCAATCAATCCTTTGTGGTACTGAGGGGGAACCGGTCAGTGTGGCACCTCCCCACAGCAGTAAGTGGATGCTGTGACACAGGCCATCTTATTGCTGCTGTGTGCATCCACTCCTGCCTTGCCCTCAGCACAAGAACATTACCTCACAAACTCCAGAGAAGATGAGCTATAGCACCAACCGTAACAGCAAACAGATCTGACATCAAGAGAGTGTTTCAAAGCTGAAGGTCTTTCAGTGAAATATGCAACACAAACAGAAGTGGACCAAGAACCTTACCCAGCAGCTTCCTTGGGATGCCTCAAGCCACATAAGCATCCCCAAGTATGTGGGGACCTGGTCTCTTTCTCACATAGATGAAATTGTTTCCTCTAGGAGCACCGGTGCCACCAGAAGAGCTCAGCAATGTGTTTTTAAGAATGGATGCTATGGGTCAGGTACCATAGCAGCAACTTTGTCATGCTGCAGGAACGTGAATAGCAGAAATGCAGCACGTTCCTGCAGCAGCATGTCCCAACCTGCAGGATTCCTGCAGCTTTTCCGGATGGCTGCAATTCATCTTCTGTCTCTGCCTTGGAACAAGGTGCCATGAAAGCCGCCAGTTGCCTCCTCCTTGCCAGCTTTCCCTTCCTGTCATCCCTCTGACTTTCCCTTTCTGCTCTGCTTAGCCCACCATTCCCTCCTCTTCCAACATGTGGGGACTGGGCTTCCTCTCATTTCTTTTTTTTGGGGTCTTTCCTACCATTCCATCAGCAGCTCCACTCGTGATGCGCTTTTTTCCTTCTCTAGTCTCCTTTTATCGCAGCACAGAGTCCTAGGGCTGCAGATTACAACTTGCAAAGGTGAATAAACCTCGGTTTCCTCCAACCAGCTCTCCCTTTCCATCTAATCCCTATTAAAGCTCTGCGAATGACACGCTGTTCTCTCTTACCATCCCACCAATCTAGTATCTTCTCCGGTATTTCTCAACTGTACAACATGAAATCCAAGCTTCAGTTACTTAGACAGAAGCAACAAACAAAGCTAATATTCCTGCAATAGCTGGATGAATTTCACACCGCTTCCACGCTGCTATCACAATGGCTGAATGCTCCAATCTGCTAATGGTAATAAAGAAAAGAAGACAGGCGTCACACCAAAGTACAATCTCCCAAAGAAATACCCCGTTTCTTCCACTCATGCTGTGCAGAGCAACAACTGAAGCCACGCTGACAGATCACAGGTCCCTGACTAAAACAAAATATTCTCTGCAAGCGAAACAAGGACCCAGGCGAGGGCGAAACAAGGACCCAGGCGAGGGTCATTTGTGTGACGTTCTGGCTGAAGCAACCTTCCACTCATCTCTCTGCTCTTGCCAGGAGGTCAGCAAGAGCCAGTAAGAGTTACCACCGCAGAAAATCACACAAACAGATATATTTAGTCATTGCGGTTCAAGGAAAACGACTGCTTGCGCTGAAAATAAATTTAGCAATTGTTTCCAGTTTCTGCTTTTTCATTGACTAAGGCACAACCCAGCTGCTTTGCATTCCAGGAGCCTTCAGCTGTCTTTTTTTCCACACTCGTCGTCCACTTCCCTCTTAGAACTGCTACGACCATCTCGGCCTTGCACCAGCCGTCCTGCAGGCGACATTTCTGAACACGCCAGCGCTGAAGCTGTGCAACACAAACAACACCTGTCAAGCCGTGATGACTTATCAAAACGTAAAATTACACTCTTTGTGCCATTTTCTTGGAAGCACTAAGTAACGATCATCTTGCACTGGCCTCTACACAAAACTACACAGCATTATTGATGCTTTTGAAACAAGTTACAGGAAAATTCAGCTGTGATGCCACTGTCTGTAATAGGAAACGCAGTAGATGATAAAAGCGTGTAAAGCATTTCACAGAAAATTATTACTTGGTTTAAAAAACCTCGGTAGAAAAATCACTTATACCGGTCAGCTGCAACACTTCTAAGTGACTGACGTGAAAGCCTTCACTTAAACTCAAGCACACGGTGTGGAGGTATGGCCACAGCTGAACCAAGAGAGCCGTGCCTGCTAACTCACCCGCACTTAACTTGGAAAAAGAGAAACTGCAGAAAACTGCACAGGTGTAAAAAAAATAAAAATTAAAAAAAAAAAAAAAGAGAAGACTACAGTTCAAACATATACGTTTTCCAGTAAGAACCCATAAACTTCATCTCAGAACAAAAACACAGACCGATGCACAGTTCAGAGTGATGTAAATCAGCACGGAGGACTCTGGACACACAATAAAGTTCCTCTCAACACAGGAACGATCTGGCCCCCGGAACTGTTCTGTTTTGCCATGTGCTTTAAGAACAGAGGTCTCTCGCCTAGGATTACCACTCCACGCTGATATCACCAATCCTAAAGGAGGAAACTTCAGAGATGAATTTGCTTATCAGGCAAATGCTTATCAGAAAAAGGTGAAGACAACAGCATTTTCAGTCTGCGGGGAATAAACACCTCCAGTTGAGTCCTGAGCTGAACAGAGATAACTGACTGCGCTCCATGCAGCTAAACTCTCGAAACAGTGCTCTCCAACAACCTTCAGCAGACAGCTATTGAAAAGGCAAGCTTACAAGGGATGTGAAAACCCTGCAGGAAAGTACAAGATTAAGATTGAAAACTTCAAGTAGAATAAACCTTCAAAGTACAGCATCCATACGTTCCTTGGCTTTAATAAAGGGCATTATTGAATGGACCTTCCTTACCGAAAAGCTTGTATTTTTAGACCTGATGGTGTCTTACTGCTCCCTTATTCTCCCTGAATGATGCAGAATAGTTCAACTCCCTGGAGCGTGTAATCCATCAGGTAAATAAATACAGGAATTCATGTATTGCCATGGTAACAGGAAAACCAAGCAGGATCTGCGGCCTTCTCTGCTTTCCTGGCATCCCTGCTTTGGATTTTATATCAAAACTACATAACTAAGCAGGGTGAGAGCGAATATCTTCTGTAAGTAGAGACAAGAAGTACAAACACATCACTTCTAGAGTAAAGAAAAACCAAGGCTGGGTGCTGTTCTTGCTCCTCAAGTCAAATGGGGATCTGCTTTCAGAAACCACTCGGAGCTCTTCCTGGCTGGAGCCTAAAGAAATGGGGATTCTACAAGAAGTAAAAACGAAATGTCCCGTCCTGCTTGACATTACCAGATGGCTCCCCTTCGCTCCAAAGCAGCGCTATGAATCACTCCACAGTAGCCCTTCTGGTGATTAAACAGCAGTACCGAGAGGCTCCAGAGGGAGCCTCGTCCTCCCTTCCTTGGTGGACAAGATGGTAGCTAGTAGATGGTATCTACTAGCATTTATTTATTTTTTTCTATTATTAAGTGTTGACAATGTGTTTTGTTTTAAAGAACCAGGGAGTAGAGATACATGTAAGATCTCTAGGGATCTCACCCTTAAAACATGCTTTCTAATCCCACAGCCTGCCCTGATGAACATTTTCTCCTTCATGCAGAGTCAAACCAAAGCCCAAAACAATTCTGAAGCTATTCACGATAACTCATTATCGGGCAACTTTCTATTCTATTTACAACATAATGAGCCTTGCATGCATTTCCGTTCCCATAAGGAAAAAACAAATACAAATGTACACAAATAGGCAGACCTTAGACCTCGCAGCATTTGTTTCATGACTCTGTATCCTTTGTTCTGCTACTGTATACATTTCAACAAATATTATTCCAGTATTGCTGCAGTATTACAGACTCTGTTTATTCGGTGACGTTATTATCTGAACTGTTTGTGTCAATCACAAGTTCAAACACTCAGGAACAGTGATCAAGAGCATCCTGTACAGAAACAGCTGGCTTCCAGCCCTCCTTCCCTCCCCTTCCCCGTCTCTTCTCCTCCAGTTTATGTTTGGACTGGATTTTTTTTTTTAAATAACACCCATCTTAAAGAAATTAAAGCAGCTCGAAGAGGACAGTTTCCCAAATTTACAGTTTCTCTCATTCAGCAAATCATCACCACGATACACACCCACTAGAAAGAACGCCTCCGCATCAAGCCTTCACCCATTGCATCTTCAAACTGTACATTTACAGCACTGACCTGGGGACGGATCCTGCATGATGTCTTGAGTTCTTCAATGGGAGTTCAGTGTGTTGCAAGGTCGGGTCTCTAGGTTGCGCAGCGTATGATTTTTGTATGGTATTTTTGGCCTTTCTGTTCTATTGTTTATGGAACCGCGCTGCATTTGTGTGTGTCTACAGAGTCATCTTCCCGTGTTTGAACTCTTCACGCTGCTTCGCTGGTGTGGAGTTATATTTACTATTCTCACAGGGTTATTTACTGCACGCGAATAAACAAAACGTGATCACTTATTTATACATCTGCAATTACTGTCTATAGCGCTATCAGCATTAACTAAAACCCCAAGCCAAATTCACCTCTAACGTTAACAGGTGGCAATTGTTTTAGAGCTGGCCCCGGGTCTCTAAAGGCCGCTAGCCCCTTCCTTAAGCAGTTACCTGCTTCCAGGAGAAAAAGCGGCAGCGATATACCAGTAAGCATCGGAAAGAGAGAGCCAGAACCCCAAAGCAAAGCATGACATTGCGATACTGCGTCAGGGCTGGTGCATCGGATTAACCTGTGATATTTCTGGAGTAACATTTGTCCCGTGATGCGATGCACACTTGTGAGACAGAGACTTAGTGCTGAGGGCTGGAAACGTGCCTATGTGCTGCGCTTCAAAGCCGGCTGCCAGGCAGCCAGTCTGCTCAGCCCTTGAGGCTGCTCCAGAACCGTAGCACAAGAGAACGTATTCTCGTAGAGCGCAGCACGGAAGCCAGAACAAACCGGGATCGAATGATCAAAACCAGAGAAGGGCTGCTCCCAACTCTATTCCTTTGAAATAGGAATCTTCCTAAATCAGCGGCTGCTGTCCTGGGAAGCCTGAACGCTGTACTTCACACATCCTGACTCACGCTGCTACCGCGCGGTCCCCAGTAGGAAAGTGTCTAGCTGCTCCTTATGATAAAAAAAAATAAATACAAAACAGCATTGTTTTTTTTCTTCTCCACTAATTAAATGCAATGTAATTAGCCTAAATAACCTCAGCGCTTGCTTTGCGAAACGCTAATTGAATCTTTAAGCGTCCTGCTCCCGCTACACGGAAGGAACAGGGGCTTTCAGCCACCCCAAGTGCCAGCTGAGAACCAGACACGACTCCAGAAGCACAGCGGGACGACACGGCCGGGCTCAGCGCTCCCTGGGCCAGCAGGAGAGAGCTCAGCAGCCTCCCCCCGGCCCCCGCTGGAAGGCAAGCGCCCCAGGCTGAGGGAAGAGCCTCGCAAGAAAAGAGGAAAAAATGAGCAAGTTCCCTCTGCCCTCTGCCCACGGACTCGTCCTTTTCTGATCTCGCACAAACCCCCAGAAGAGGAAAAGTTGGAGAAGTTGCGATGAATCGCTGCGGGTAGGCCCCAAAGCGTTGCAGCGCCCCGGCTTTGCTGATGCTTTGCTACATTGAAAGGACGGTAGGGGAAGAAAGAAGAAGGAGGAGAAAATAATAATAATAATAAAAAAAAAAAGAGGACAGAAATACAAAGGGAAAAGGGAAACAAAAAGGACAAAAACGGACCAGAAGAAGACACAAAGCCTGACAAAAACCAGCGTGCGAGCCGGGCAGCGCGGCGGGGGGCTGAGGGCGGCAGCGGGGGCAGCGCATCCCCGCCGCTCCCCCGGCCCCAGCCGCCGTGACAGGAGCCTCGGGGCGGCCCGGGGAGCCGCAGGGTGCCGGGCCCTGCCCGCTTTCCCCCCCCCCCTCCGGGCCGAGCCGGGCCTCGCCAGGCCCTTGGCGAGCGGCTCCTCCGGGCCGCACCGTGAGGGGAGGCCGGCGAGCGCCGCCTCCCCGCCGGGCTCCCCCCCGGGAGCCTCCCCGGCCGCCTCACCTGCTTTCTCCAGCTTGCCGGACATGTCGCAGCCGGGCTCCGGCGCTCAGGCCCGGCCGTGCAGGAGGAGCCACCTCCTCCTCCTCCTTCTCCTCCTTCTCCTCCTGCTGCTTGCTGCCGGCTGCGATCCGGGAGAGAGGCGCTGCTGCTGCGGCGGCGGAGCAGGGCAGCGCTGCCCGCCCGCACCGCCCAGCCTGCCTTACCCCCCCCCCACCCCCCACCTACCCACCCTCTTCCCCGTTAAGCCCAGCTCCGCCGGGCCGCTGAGGGGAAGAGGCGGCCCGGGGGCTCCCGCCGCACACGCACACACACGCGCCGGGGCCGAGCCGGGCCGGGCCGGGCCGCAGCTCCGCCTGCCGGCACCGCCGGGGAAGCGCCGGCACCGGGCGGGGCCGGGCCCGGCCTGGCGGGAGGCGCCTCAGGGAGGGCCCCTCAGGGGCTGGGCTGCACTGGGGGGGAAGCCTCGGGGTGCTGGGCGTTGGGGGAGGTGGGTGTGGGGGGCGACCCGAGGGGTCTTCTTGGGTGTGGGGGGGCTCCGAGGGGTCTTCTTGGGGTGTCAGTGGGGCCGGGGAGGTGCAGGGATCTGAGGAGGGCTGTGGGGGCACCAGGGGATGGTGGAGTGTGGAGATGTGCCTCAGGGTCCTGGGGCTCTCGGGGAGCTTTGTCTTGAACACAGTCTTAGAATCGTAACACAATCGCAGAATCATAAAGGCATTAGGATTGGAAAAAGCCACCACAATACCTAATCCAACCATCACCCGACTAGCAATGTCAGCCACTAAACCATGTCCCTAAGCACCATGTCCCCAAGCACCATGTCCCCAAGCACCATGTCCCTAAGCACCACATCCAACCACGAATCCTGAAGTCACAGAATCACAGAATCACAGAATCTCTAGGTTGGAAGAGACCTCAAGATCATCGAGTCCAACCTCTAACCTAACACTAACAGTACCCCCTAAACGTCCTTCAAAAGCTCAGTGGGCCTACCAAACGCTCTGCCTTTTTCAAAAACTGGGGTAGAATCTTGCTTTTAGAGGTGTTGGCAGCGAAGTTAATGAACAAGGAACGAGGGTGGGATTTGCACAAACCTCACCCTAGTTTTTAGCCAGTTGGACACCAGTGCTCAGCATCCTCGTGGCATCACACGGACACCTCGACTTCTACACACGCAGCTCGCTGCAAACAAACCCGGGGGCACTCATCACCACCACCAGCAGCCCCACAGAGGCTGTAGACAGCAACAGGCTCCAGCTCTCGGCTTCTATAAACCCCATAGCTCCGTGTTTGCAGTCCTCACATCTGCGCTGGCTGCAAATTGTGCTCAGGAAGCACTGAGAGCTCTTGGTGGCAGGACACTGAGCGTGGCGACGTGCGGGAGAGAAGTGGGTTCTGCCTAGTGGAAAACGACAGCAGTTGGTGGCGATGGCCCTAGGCCACAATAAAAGGATTATGGGCCTATTTGAAAATGAACTCGTTTCTATGACTTAATTAGGGATAAACATCACAGCAGTACCTTGACTTGCAGGTGGTGTGCTGTGCTACAGGCCAATAAATCTCCGGCGCTTGTTGAGGCAGCAGAGGCTGTTTACTTCCCCCTCTATCAAAATAATCATTCACGAGGCTGGTATTTTCGTAAGCTTTACACATGATGTTTGAAGTGACTTCATCAGCTTTTTTTAAACACCTCACACACGTGGGGCTGGCACAGGCTATAGGAGAACACCTCTGGGAAGGAGAGCGCGCATTCTTCACCCATTAATTTTTTTGAGACTTGTGCCTGCTCCAACACAACTCCATTCCTGAGCAGAGAGTTCCTGACTGCGCCTTTTTTTTTTTTTACAGACTTGAAGAAAAATAGATTAAGGACAGATTCTTCTCTCACTTACACGGGTGTAAGAGGCGGCTGGTGTGGCTGTGCTGAGCTGTTTTGACTCGCTTGTGCCAGTGAGAGAAAGTAGGAGCCGTGGCAGGTGATGCTAATGTGAGCAGAGCCGAGCGCGAGCACACACAGGAAGCAGCCAGATGAAGTAAGAAGCTGCTATTCTTACACGCTCTGTTGTCAGACTTGTGCAAGGAAGAAGGCGAGCGTGTGCGATAACGTGTGATACAAACAGAACAGCTACTGAATTGGAAGGGCTTTTCATAGCTGCTGATATAAAAAGCCCCGCTCCTCCTGTGTTGTATTGCCGGTGGGGGAAGCTGAAGCTTCCCTTGCCTTCTGCGTTAAGATGCAACTTGCAATGCTGGGAGAACCCCATGCTTCTAAATATCCCAGTGAGCAGGCTGGGGAAAAACACCCTGGATTTGATTGTGTGGGTGTGAATGTGCTGGTGTGGGCAGAGCTGGGCTGGGGCGGCAGGAGGAGGGCTGGGAGGGGAGGCGAGGCTTTTCACAGCGGTACAGAGTGGTGCAAGCTCCTGTGAGGATGTTTCTTGATGAAGGCTCAGGAGAGAGGAAAGGGGATGATGGCTCCTGGTCGCCTTTAAGAGAAAGCAACACTGAGGTGTCCTGCAAAGAACCAATTTTTCAGGTGCCACTGCCACGTCAGGCAGAAGGTATCAGGCCTTGGTACTGGTACTGATGCTCACCCAGCAGCACGAGGCATGCAAGGGGAGCTACCAACCTCAGTCTCCTTTCCGTGACTTTTCTTTGCTGAGGGAAACTACCCAGCAGCAGAAGTGCCAGCGGCACTCGGGCAGGCAGTTGGCCTCGGAGCCCAAAGCTCTCCGGGGCATTCTGCTTCTGCCCTGGCCCGCAGGCAGACTGCACCCCACAGGGTCACTGGAGGCCCTGAACTTTGCAGCTGACCCACTGAGCAGGGGAAGTTGAGCAAGAAGTGCCAACACCATTGCTGCAATTAGAGAAGAGCACTCCTGCCCTCTAGTGCCATTCCTTTCTCCGAGCTGTTTCCTCCCACCCCAATCCCTCACCTGGGTCTGCTCCTCTCCACTTGCAGGGTTAGGGTTGGGCTGATGCAGGGTCTTTCCCTCAGAAATGCCAGGAGATAGCAGCTGGTCACCCCCAAACCCTGCTAAGTGGGCCTCAGTAGCAGGAATAACTGGGAATGCGCAGGGAAAAGCAGTTCAGCCAACAGCCGTCTTGCACGGTGCTTCTGGACCAGCGCTGGCCTTGCTAAATAATTTGGGTGGGACATGAGCAGCTCCCTGTAAAGGCCTTATTCAATATACGTGATGAACCCCAAGTGACAGACACACCACTGTGACCCCAGAGCCTGATGCACTGGAGCAAGACACGAGCTGCTGGTGGAAAGCTGGTGGCCAGGGCTGGGCGAGGAGTGGGTTCCCCAGCTGGGAGCTTGCAGATCTCATCCTGCACCCGCTGGGACTTCTCTCTGGCTCAGGCAGATGTGCCCCATCCTGCCCCATCACTGACAGGACTTGCTTTTCCTGCCGGCCTTTTTTTAGAAAAATAAAAAAAATAAATTAAAAAAAATGCCGTTTGGGTGCGGGCTCTAGAGGGCGGCAGATGCCGGCGGATGGGCAGCGCAGCCCCTGGGAGCACAGAGCCGGGGGCCGGGGCAGTGGGCTCGTCCCTGCCTGTCCCCCCCAAAAAAAAGAAAAAAAGAAAAAAAAAAATCTCCCAAAGGAATGAGCCACCAGAACCGCAGGGGAAGGCTGAGAAAAACTCCATGCCCCAGGATCCTTAAAAAGAAAAAACCAAGAAGGAGATTACACATTTTTGTCAGCCCTCTTGTATATTTAAAGTAATTAGGAAGGTGAGGGGGGAAAGGGAGAGGCTATAAAGGTTCTTTGGATTAACCTTAGCCCTCTGCTGGGGTTTATACTTCCCGGTGGAAGTAAGCATGTGAATCACCATGAACCATAGGTAAATTGGGTAAGAGCAAAGGGAAAGGCCAACACGCTGCCTGATCCTGCAGGGTGCTGCAGGGTGCTACCTTAGGCCCTGCCTGGCAGAACTGAGTTTTTCCTTCTGAAGCATTGTTATGGGGTGCTGCTGGAGATGGAGGGACACAAGGAAGCTGGACACGACTCCATGGCAAACCCTTTCAACCAGGAGCTGGTTTGGAGAAGCGATGGGTCCGAATGACAACACTGGTGCTGCTGTGCATGGATGTGGGGCACTCCACGTCCAGCTCTGCTCCATTGCTCTAAGATTCATGATCGCCTCATGAAGGAGCTCCTGGAGGGGGAGACAAGTGGCTGGGTGGCCTGGGGGACTCATGGAGATTCAGGGGGCTCAGCAGCTCTCCGGGGAGTGCATGGAGGGGCCTGATTCAGGGCCTCAGACACAAACACAGCCCTAGGTCCCATGACTGCTCCATACGCAAGCGCTCTCTAAACCCTGGCTTTTTTGCCAGGCTGTTTCCCTCGGACAAGTGACCCCACCTGCCTCCCGCTACAGAAGCTGAAGGTGACCCAAATCCCTCCCTGTAGGAAAGAGTGAAACCAAAACGAAACAAAAAAAGGAAATCAAAATCAATATTCCAAAGTCAAATAATAACAATCGCGTTATGGAAGCAGAGGTCACCCAGAGAGAAACGTAATCGGAGGTGACAGCCCAGCTTCTGCCTCCCTCTCTCTGCCAGCCCCGGGTGGGCAGACCTTGCTCCCAAGCCCTGGTGTCCCCTGCCTGGTGGCAGCAGCACCGCGAGGTTCCTGCAGCGACAGCAGACACACGGGGATGGGGGAGAGGGACCGGGGGAGATGCAGAGGGTCATGGTGTGAGGTAACGGAGGTCTCGCAGGGCAGGAGCAAGCGAGATCAGCAAACCTGCCTGGGACCGAATAGAAGGGGCTGTGGCAGATGACGGGGAGATGTGCTGAGCCCTGCAGGCAGCCAGGGGAAGAAGGTTCAGAGCTCAGGAAATGCAGCTCTCTGGGGTGAGAGGCACTGGGGCGAGCAGATGAGCCAGGAACCGCGCTTGTTTCTGGAGGAGCAACACTGGAAGTGCAAGCAGCCTCGCCGTGCCTCAGTTTCCCTATTTGTAAAAGGGCTCTGTCACCTCTACAGCTAGAAGAGAAAGGCACAGACTCCTCTGGACCGCAGTTCTGAGAAAGCAGCCGCTGGGCAGCCAGCACCACGCTTACCCAATGAGCCTCCCCCAGCCCCTCTGAGGTCCTCACAGCAATGCACGGGATAGTGAGCTGAAATGGCTCGAGCCAGTCTCGGTTTTGGTTGTCCTGTCCCCAAAGCAGGGACTGGCCAGCCCCCACGCTGGTGCAGTGACACCACAA